ACGTTATGGGATGCAGCAGAGGAGCATTTTGGGATTGCGCAGGACTTACTATGGGTTGTTTAGGGGAGGAAGCAAGGGTGGGGAAAGGGAGGGATCTGGGTGGTTTGGGAAGGAACAAGTGTGGGAAAACAGAGCAATGAGGGGATAAAAGGGGCCAGCTGCATGTAAAGAGTTGGCTGGTCGGTATGTCTGTCTGGCCATGCCCTGCGCCTGGTCAGCAGGGCCTGTCTTCTCATTGAACTCCATTTCAGATGTTTTTCCTGGGTGAGGGACTCCCTACTCTGTATGCACATGTGTGTTTGGGGGTCTAGGTGAATCACTGGTGAATGTCGAGCTGGACTAGCTGGTGAGTAGGATAAGAGGCTTTGGGAGGAAGGTATCAAAGCAACCGTAAGTGTGGGCTGGATACTGAAGGTACCAGAGGTCTGTGGATTGGCTATTGGAGGGACCAGGAGGTCCTGGCCAGCTACTGGGGAGATTGTGGGGTCTGGAAGTCAATTGAGAGACCTGTTTGTGTGTGTTTGTGCAAGAGCCAACTGGAAAAGAGAGGATCCAGGGGCCAGCTACTGTATAGACTGAGTGTCTCAGGCCAGTGGCTAGAGGGATCCACATTGTATATACGTCTGTGTAAGTATATATACATATTCTCTTAATGGGCTTTCATCCTGATCAACCGGAGAGCAGAACAGGATGAGGCCCTTGGTGCTGTTTGTGTCTGTTGAGCGTTTCTGTGTTGCTGGCCATGTATATACGTAGATAAGTGTTGAATATGTGTGTTTGTGCTCATGTGCCTACGGGGAATACATGCTTAGCCCCACTGCCAGCTGGACCGGGGGGCAGGGAGGTGCGGCAGCCTTGCCTCTACTGGGCCACTGGATTCAGCGGCTTGTGACAATGACCTGTTCACTTGGGCTAGCAGTTGGGTTTGAGCCAAGGATAGCCTCTGCAAAGACTATCCTACTGCCTGAGCAGAAGGATTGAAAGGGAGAAGGTTGCTCTTTTTAATGTCTTCAAGCTTGTGAACTCCCTCTCAACCAACATTGGGTGATGACAGGCAGCTAAATCCCCCGCTCCCAGCACCTAGGCACATCCACCTTGCAACACTGCCTGGTTCAGACACACCTGAGCTGACGAAGTTGCTCACAACGACATCAAACCGCTTAGACACCAGTCACTGGTGTGATTCATGAATCAGATGTTCCTCCATCAGTCTGTCTTTTCAACAGGCACAGCCCAAGGGATGTGCTGAGACAAGTCCCCCCCAAAGCTGTCTAACCCTGACACAGGAGGTAGCTGGCAAAAAGCACAGGGAACTGAGCAGACTGAAATGTGAACACTTCAACAGGGTGGAGGTACTTTCAATGATAGACAAGTCCACTAGCAGAGATGAAGCTGAACAATGAGGCTTTCAAGGCCTTAGGGACACCTAAAATTTAGTTTTGACAAATAAAGTTGCAGTCTTTCTGCCTTTTCATATGCTACTCTGAGCTGCTGTGGAGGAATACCATGATCCAGCCCCGTATTTCCATCAAAAAATAATAACAAATTAGAGGCTCTTGTATCAGTTTGTCATTCTCCAACTGATTGCAGAGATACACTCTAAGCTGATGAATTATTTAAAACAGATGCAGTACATTTCAGAAAATGAATTTGATTAAGTGACAAGATATTATGAAGAAAACTGAGACAAAAGCCTAAGAGAATCTATTTTCATAAAATATAGCATGCTTCCTATCTGATGATAATTTTGAGTAAACAGACGAATTAGTAGGTAGACTGATAGAGTGTCCACTAGGAAGACATATATACACAGGAAACTAATATAAAATGGAAAATGGTCTTGCTAAGCAAGACATATTACCCTCTCTCCACTCCATCCACAAAACAGGCAATGAAAAGGAAATGACACATAGGGCTTTTTTTTAGTTTCAAACTTCTCTTCTTTCCAAACCCCTGTACTGTGTGCTGGGCGGGTATGTTTTTGCTAAAGCACTACTGATGTGTCACTTTGTAGATGTTACTGAAGCTTACAGGTTCTGTCTAAATCTCTGTACAAAACACTTTCTAGATTGTCATGGCTTTCATGGCTTATCACAATATGTAGAGCTTTATAGGAAGAAGTCAGGTCCTTTATCAGATGAGATCTGGAAGAGGTGTTTGAAGACATGAGTGTCCAGGAGCTTGTCTGTTTTTTTCCCAGCAAAGTCAGCTTGTCTAAAAACCTTGTCTTGATGACATTCTTAGGCATGCAGGCTACTACAACACAACTGCATGAAATACATAAACTATCTTTGTACTGAAAATGGAAAATTGCTCTCACATATTGCCTTATTATTGTTATGTACTGATTTCCTTTCTTTCTTTCTCTTTATTTCTACTGAAAGACATCAATATAATTTATTTACTTCATTCGCAAAGAAGCTCGTATTTAATTGCAATGCATATCATCATATTCACCTAATATAGTATAAATTCCCCTGCTGTTTCAATTGGACATCTGTCTTAAACAGTTGTGGTAGGGAGTAAACAGCGTATTTCATCTTAGAAATGGTCCTGTTGAAATATACATGAATGTTCAATTAATTTCCATCTTCTTTTCCACAGTACTTCTTTCCTTTGCTTTTTATTTTCCTTAATAAAAAGTCATATTCAATATTTAAATTCACAAAAGTAAAAAAAAAAAGTTAATAAAACAGTTTGTGATTTTCCTTTCCTCTCCCTCTCCTTCTTCTCCCCTCCCCTCCTCTCCCCTCTAACACTGGAAGAAAGACTTGCATTAGAGGATGGCACTTCTGGCTCAAGTCTAGCCTGGATATTGACTGCTGGCAGTTTGCTTCTATGTGGATTCATCACTATTGATTTTTGTTCCAGGTTTAAGATATGGGCATGTATCACTTTCCCAGCAGCAGTCTCATACAGACTTTCCAGCTCTCCCACGGCTAATATCTGCGCTCTTTATGTGCATGAGTACAACCACCATCCCGGCCGGCCGGGGATGGAAAGCCTAACATCAGCTAGAGGGTGTATGTGCCCTGCGGGCTGCAGAGGCTCCTTGAAGACACAATCTTAAATGGGAAGGATGAATCAGCACCCGTCAAGCTCCATGCTGCTATGGGGGGACTGCTTCCTTCCAGCCACTTTGCAGCGCAGATGTGCACAGTCTCTTCTGTTCGGTCATGCAGACTGTAGCTTGCAGTGAAGTAGAGAAACAACCCCAGATACATGTGTCTTAGGCTAATATTCTGACTACTGGGCTGTATCCCCTTCTTTCTGAATTGCAAGGCAATGCTAAAATACAAAAAAGGAAACTATCCAGTCTGTGGATTTCTCATGGGAGCCAGATGCCCTAAAATATGGACAACTGTCCAATGGATTTCTTGAACAGCCACATAGTAACCTGCTCTTGCAAAAGTGCTCTGCGACAGATAAAGAGGAAGAGCATTTGGATTTTTTGACAAAAGTGGCAAAAAGAGTTTATACAGCTTTAGCAAAAGGATGATGAAAAACGTCCCACGGATTTCTCTTTTCCAGTTGCAGAGGAGTATACAGTGGAAACATATTGCCAACTTTTTATTGCACATTAGAACAATTAAAAGGTTAATGTTAAGAAATAGAAACTAAGATCAGTGCAACAACAGTTTAATTCAGAGATACATACAGTGAATACTGGGAGTGAAACCAGTTACCTTTATCTTGAACAAAGTGCCCTTCTGGAGGAAAATACTTGTTTGTTTAGATTGAAAGCAGACACCAGTCAATGAGCTGACCAGTGTCCCACTAAGCAACGGGCAGTGAAAGCTCAGATTCTCCCAACTGGTCTGAACTTTCCAAGTAGTGGGAGCAGTAAGTGCTTAGCATCTTTGCAAAACTGCCTCTCTCCAATTCAATACCCCACATCAGAGGCACCGGAGACACCTGTGTTCTTTAACTTATCTGCAGTCTAATCCTCCCCACCCACACATACACATGTGAAATGGAAATAACAATTTAAACCTATCTACATAAATACAGCTCTTTGAAATGCACTAATGTGTGCTACTAGCTGAATCAGGAGAGCACTTAGGCACAGCACACACTTACATCCAAGTTGCACGGGGAGAAGAGTTTTAAAGTTTGGGTACTAGATCAGGTTGCATTGAGGGGATTATCACAAGCAGAGAGGAGAGGAAATTGAGGTTAAGTATGGTCCAGGAGGCAAAAGGGAAAGGGCATGGAAAACAAGTCAAGAAAAAGAAAGCTCCAAGATGTAGATGGTTCACAGTTACTTTAGGCAGCAGTTTAAGCTTCTCAGTTTTGAAAAAGGAAATAACACCTACTTATCACCAAGAGGTGTGTTGGTAATTCATGTTGAAAAGTGCTCAGAGATTCTTTGAAGAAAGGTACTTTTGGAAATGTAAAGTGTCATCTTTGAAGCATTTGTTATTATGCCACAGTGTGATTGTGGACTTAAAAACTGCTACTAAAAAGTGATGTAGAAGGAAAGCAGCAACCCATCCAGTCATGAATACTTGGCCAGCCCCAGTATTTCTACCCGTGATACCATCAATAGACAAATACTGGTGGGAAGAATGGGTAAGAAAAAAATCAAGTGTGTATTTTACTAGGTCTTTCACCTGGAAAAGCTAGTTTGCTATGTATACAGCTCCAGGTGGCATAATCGGTTTAAAAATTTATGTTTATTCTTATTTTGTTTCCCCCTGGGAAACTGCAACCAAGCTGCCAGAGTGATGAAACCAACACCAAGGAAGTCAGCAAAAGAAAGTGATAGACTTCCATGTTCTCGCAGTTCATGACGGTTATGCTCAATTAGCCCTGTACCTTTTCTTCAGGATCAGAAGGGGTTTACCTTGAAACGTTTCTCTGTCCGCTTACTGTGTTACAGCATGTGTCTTCAAATCCTGAAGTCACATTATTTGCCCACTTCCAGACCTGTGCCTTTAATATCAGTCCATAACTCAGTTCCTTGGGCTGCCAGCAATCAGTGCTTCACAGAAAGGAGTAGTATGGAGATGCACCCAAAGTCCTTCCATTTTGGTCCATCTCTGTGCCTCTCTGAGATATTCTGCTTAGGTTGACAGGATTTCTCAGTCTCTTTCCAGATTGTTAATGACTTGCAAAGCTGAGAGCATGGTTGTTGGCGTTCCCTTTACTTCATGTCTTCTGCCTGCAAGTGCTAAGGAAAGACAGAAAGATTTAAGATACATTCAGACCATAAGGACAAAGAGGTTTAGAAACTGAAGTCTGGACTTCTTACTTCTCTACTTTTAAGGTAGGAATTCTATCAAGAACTGGATTATCCTACCCCAGAGCCAGGCTGTTTTACCCCAGTTTGTCTACCTGTACCTGAAGAAGAGGTGGAGATAGCACTGCCTTCATTGTATACCCTATGCTATACGTTGCATTCCTGATGCATTTATGGAACCAAGCCCAGGCCAGCTCTGCGAATAAATCCTGGAGAAAGTCAGACCTGTTCTGCCAGTCAGAAACCCACTGCATTTAGCAGAGCAGACTATTGGATATGTGTGTGGTGACACCCTTCCCTAAGGACATCCTTCAAGGAAGTGTATGGAAGGGAGTGCGTACTGGGAAGCCTTGTTGGCACAGCTCCTTGCCACTCAGCCTTGCTACCAGGAAGCCGGGATTAGAGTCACTGAGCAACATGTTTTTGTGCTTGTCCCAACAGTGCTGGTTTAGGTGCCTGTCCTAGTCTGTGTGTATCTCCCTTGACCAAAAAACCTCTGTGGAGAACTGTAGCTTGGTCATTTCCATTTCTCAAGACCAGTACTCAGCTCAAATCTGGAATTGTGCTCTTCAGCCTGTTTTGGAGGTGGAGAAGGAAACAAATTCAACTTTTCAAGTGTTACACTTTGCAGATATAAGGGATTTTTTTTCTCCTATAAAAACAGCTCTTATAGCACCCACACAACAGCAACAAAGACATCTACTTACCTTTCCACAGGATGAAATCCAACAACAAAATAATATTCACTCCTCTTACAAAATTTGGCAGTGCCTGTAGTGCCTCTTTCTCCTCCTTTTCTCATTTAATGCACATTGGCTAATAATCTCCAGGGCTGTATCAATACCTTCTTTTGTCTTGGCAGAACACTCCAGATAAGCATATGCCCCGATGCTGGCAGCTAAAGCTTTTCCTTCTGTAGTGCTAATTGGCTCATTGCCTGGAGAAGTTAGTTTCTTCTTAATACCTTCATCGCCCCTTAGTTCTGTCTTGGTAGCCACCAGAATAATAGGTACTGTGGGGCAGAACACTTTGATTTCTGGAATCCAAAAATCAAGGATGTTTTGCTGTGAGTCATGCCTGTCCACAGAGAAGCACATTAAAATAATGTCGGTGTCCTCGTAGAACACTGAGCGGAGATTTCGGTAACTGACTTCATTCTTCCCTGCCACATCGAAGAGAATTAGTTTCATCTCTTTCCCATCTACTTCTGTGTCAGTGGCGTAAGCATCAAACAGAGTTGGCTCATAGGTCTTGGGAAGCTGCTTGTGACACAGAGCAAAGAGGAGGCATGTCTTACCACAGCAGTCATCTCCAACTACAGTTAGCTTTCTCCTAAGAGCAGCCATTCCTTGAAAACCAAGATGAAGTACAAAATGGATTATTCCCATGCTGGGCTTTTTTTTTTTTTTAGCTCTTGTGCAGGGTAGAAGGAGGAGAGGAGAAATCCCATTAGTTTGGAATTCTTCTCCTTCTCTCCTTTTTTCTCTCCATACTCTGTCTTACCTTTGTTCTCTATTTTTTTTCCCCTTTTAATTTCTATGGTATCAGAATCTTCTGAAATTGTGAGTACCTTGCTCTTGACTATTATTATAGATCAAAAAATGAAGGCATAAACCAAGTCTGGATGTAACCAAGACTCTTGCAGTGCCTTATATTTCTGTTTTATCATCTCAGACATTGTTTATGGTCAGTGTTCAGTCCATAACAGACTTCATTTTCTGGATTGAATTACTTAATTTTGTGAGTGAGATGGAATATAAAACACTGTACTGAACAACTATGCAAATCGGCTTTACTGACTACATTTTTCCTGCCATGGTCTGCTAGTGGAATTCTACCACTGGCAACAGCTATCCTGTGCAAGTCCATGCTGCTTTTGCTCATAGATCCATTGCCATGTGGGAGTTAATAAAGTGTTTTCAGTCTTCATATATTCACGGCTAATTTATATGAGATAGAAGTTTGTTAGACTTACAGGATAGTGATTTCCAGTATCAACCTTCTTTTCTTTCTTGATGTTCAGTATTAGATTGGTTTCTTTTAAAACTGTTGCCACCTCAGCTTCCTTAGGTCACTGGTTCCCCTGCGGAGAGAACTTCCCACCACTCTTCAAGGACTATCATGATGACCACAGTATTTAAAGGAATAGGTTGATGTTTCTAAATATAGCCAACCAATCTACAAAGACAACATCATGACATCATTGTTTTTTAAAGAAGCCTACTTTACTGGCAATAAAGTGGAAGTTATGTAATTCATTAACAAATCACAGCATGTTTACTTTAGAAATTTCCTCATTCCTATTGCAAAAGACTCGTCCTGAGTGTGCATTTCAGTATTGAGTGTGCCAAACTGCTTGTGTGTGGGGGGCTGACAGTACAAGAGTGTAAAACAGTGGTAGGCTTGCCAGACAGACCCTCAAGACACCCCTTTCCAGATTTGCTGAGGCATCGTAGAGAAATAAATTGCAGAATCAAAGAATGGATGAGGTGGGAAGGGGTCATCTAGTCCACCCTGCCCTGATCGGAGCAGGATCAACCCCAGCAGGTGGCTCAGGACTGTGTCCACTTGGGTTTTGAATATCTCCAAGGATGGAGACTCCACAGCCTCTCTGGGCAGCCTGTGCCAGAGTTTGATCATCTTCAAAGTAGTGAAATGAAGTCTATCAACTGGAGAGTCTGAAGAGAAAGAACTGTCCAGTGTTAAGTATCCTATCTTGAACTCCGAGATGAAGACTGAATTCCCTGCTCTCTTGTTGGCATTGGGCAAGTCACTTCTACTCCCTCTGTCTCAGTTTTCCTGGTAGACAAAGACTGCAAGGTACCTGCAACCACTAAAAACTGACAACAAAGGGAACCAGGGGTAGATTAATTTGGTCTCTGCAGAGAGAGGCATTATTGGTGATGCAGTTACGTAACTGCTGATTAGTATAGTTACATGGTCAGACCATTTATTTCATTCTGCTACAGAAGAGTTCTTCAACTAAGATGAGTGCTTTTAGATCTAAAAATTTTAGCCTAAGGATGAGGAACTTGTTTTTGTTTGATTTGAAGTCAGCTGGAGACCTGAGGCTGCTTTAGTTTTCTGTGGTGCTCTAATTTTACTCTGCCAGGCCATATTTCCTGCGTCTTATTCAAGTATGAATCCAATAGTCTTGCTGTAGGAACTTGACAAAATTAAAGCCATCAGCTTCTGACTTGCCCCACTTACTCCCTAGAAGAGCAATGCCAGTGGGCCCCACAGAGCTCTTTAGGATCATGAAGGCATTTCTTGTTTGGGATGAGGCACTTTCACATGCACTGTACTTAGCCCAAACCTCTGTATGAAGGTACACAGGTCTTTTTTACCTTCTCTTTTGTGTCTTGGTGTTCTGGTTTCTAGGTAGATCAGTCTGGCTTGTCTGCTGAGAGTACTGATCACAAGGGGATCTGAGAGTTAAATTCTGTTTTTCTTCAGGGACACTGGAAAGCAACGGACCTGCTGTGACACGCAACAAGTGGCCTGGTTCCTATATATGCCAGAAACTCTTAGCAGCTTAGAGAAACAGATACTTAGCATTTCTGCCTGTCCTCCCACATCTACTCAGAGCTTTTTCACACTAGCCTGTGAACTGCTCATATTTAGCTAGCTCTTGCTTTCCTTACTTCACTGAGAAGCTTTGCCTGCGTGAGGACTGCAGGATGCTTGCTGCTAGCGTTACAGTACAAGTCAGCGTGCAGGACTCAGTGTGCCATTACTGGCACATACGGCTCCCCCAGCATGTTATGCCACAGCAGGCAATGTACTTACTTGCCTACTTATCGACAAAAAGAAGAAAGATTACCTTTCCCACTGACTTTTCACGCTTTTGGTACAGATTTATGCTTGAACACAAATTCTCTGAGTTACAGACATGCCCTTTAGAAAATCTGTTTAGCAAAAAGAGCAGGGGGGGAATATAATCTGGAAACAATCTCTAGTAATTGACTAGAATTGTCTTCTCAGCAACAAAAAATGCCAATTGGATTAAATCAAGTAAAAAACAAAAGGCTGAGTTTTAATCTCAAAACCACCAGTACAAGCAACGAAAGCAAAGAAGTGGTGTCTTCTTTCTCCTACTTCATACTTTCTTCATCAATCACACAGATGTAAGTGGTGCAGCAGAACTAATGCTCTGCGTAGAGAGTGCACATTTAGGGATTACTGGAAGTGAAGTATCAGCTTCATGCAAATTTGATCAGAAAATATAAAAGTTCCAGTATAAAGTTCAAATTCAGCCCTAAAATATGTGAGCTGGCTACACTCCCTGGTGTCGTCCAGACCACAACCATGCTTCAATACAGAATCGGTCCTGTACAAAATGCCCTAAGGAGAGGAAAAAGCTGCGACATCCCAGAGCCTCTTTTCACTATTTTCCTTCCAGGTTTTCCACCTGTGCTCTCAGGCACATTCCCAAGAAGGAAGCACTTCCACAGATTATTGTCCACTGTGCTCATTTACAGTACCGCTGCTGTGCCTTTTTCCGCTGCACTCACAGCACTGCCATGCTGGTCAGATTCCCGTTTTCCCTGATGCCTCGATCCAAGCGGGAAGAGAAAAGTATTCCTATGTACAACTCTGTCCCTGATTTCCACTGTTCTTGAAACTGGCTCACTTTATGCTTTCATGCATGGGCTGAAGAAAGAATGCTCCAGAGAAGAAAAGTAAATATATATAAATGGAAAGATAACATAAATTAAGGGCCTCCTCACTTCCACTTAGACAGCTCAGGGAAGGTACTATATAGTGCACTGGTATTTATGAGCTAACCCACTGCAGCAGAGAGGTGGCATGTAGCAAATTTACATTAAGTATGAAACCCAGGCTGTGATCAAGTCCCAGGTACTACACATTTAAGTATAAATGTGTGATAACCACAGTGACATAGATGTTCCTGATAGAGTCCACCACTGGAGTATACCCTAGGACAGTGAAATGAGTGCAATCTCAGCCTAAGTGAGTCACAGGGCTGGGTCTCCTGATACAAAGCCTCTGAAAAAAAACATATAAAGCACCTGAAACCCTAGGTCAAGGAATTACATAGACTTTGCTGCAGTCTTTCTTGCAAAGTGCGAGATGAAACATCAGGCCCTTTGCCTTTAGCGTAACTGTGTGGAAGACGGCAGATGCAAGACTTCACTAGAAAATGAAGCAGTTATGGCTCAGACCATAACTGGGTGCTGGAACAATATCTGCACTGTTCAATTACAATAAGAGTCCCTGCTATGGGTTTGACTTGTCTGCTGTAATCCAACTTTGTAGAGTATTTCCTTAGCACAGTTTGGAAGCTGGGACCAGTAGACAGCTGGGATGAGGCCACCCCGCTTTAAAGTCTGAAAAAAGAGTACGAATGTGGGCCGCTTTGCTTTCTCTACACTGAGGCGCACAGATAACTGCTAGCAGCACTCTGGGTGAACAAGAACCGTGTGCTTTGAGATGAGTACGCGGGCTGTTTCCCTGCCTTTCATGGCACGGCACCGGCGACACGAGCAACAAACCCGCTCACGTGCCTGATCACTTTTTCTATTTAACCAACCGTCTTGCTCATGATAAGCCAAACCCAAGTACCCAGGCACGATTCTCCGTGCCCCCCCCCCCCAAGCCAAATAAAGACGGACCCCGCCGCACGCCGAAGCAGCACCCCTGACGATCGATCCATAAGGCCCTCGCAGCTTTTCCCACTTTTCCCCCGAGGCGGAGCGCTCCCGTTTGGGAGCCGTGCGGGCGCCGGGGTCGCCGGCGGCGCGCCGGCCGCGAGGTGGCAGTGGGCTCCAGCCCACAGCCCGCCGGCCGCCCGCGGCACCGCGGGAGCGGTCGCGGGGCGTGGAGCCGCGCGGTGGCGTGGGGCGAGTTACTTTCTACGGCAGACTGACTCCGCCTGCCGAGCAGAACGGGTCCACGGAGCTGCGGTTCTATCTGTAGAGAAAACAGCCGCACGCTGCCGGCGCTCCACCGCCACAAGGACGCGCCACATCGGCAGCTTGCTTTCGTTTCGTGGAGAATTTAAAACCGTGAGTGGTCAAAGGTAAAGGGATACCGCCGATTTAGCCTGCTAAAGGGCCGCGGGTACTGTGGAACACCGGTGCCTATGACTACGCTTTATTTCTGGGGGTTTTCAAACACCAGTTTGAATTTATTATATTCGCTTCACGAAAAATACGCCGTAGAAACGATGTGAGATCAAAGTACAAATCCATCCATTGCCATCCGGGGACATGCTCTTCTGACAGGGAGAAATGGGAATTGCAAAAATCTCACAGAGGGTTAATTATATTTCAACGTCTAGGATTAAGCGAACCATTTGCCCTATTGACACACACTTCTGTAACAGTCTGCTGCGAGTAGCCCGTCGGGCAATTTGATGCACTCACTGATGCACTTGGTCTTCAAGTGCGTATTTTAAAATACAATTTTTAATAACAACCATATTGTCCAAATCACTCATTTGTGTTCTATTCACTAACGCCAGTGCTGGCTAGCAAGAGAGGACACTTTGGATCCAATCCCGAGAGGCAGGAGCCACAGGACATCGTTTAGGTGAAAATGCTTGCAGGGAAAAGGCTCGAGACAACACCCAGTTAGACAGCGATAGCTGCAACAGGGACGTGGGGAATCGCTACCACTAATTTCACAGTGTGAGACTTTATGATGCGCAGCTTTATTAACGCAGCCAGCGTGAGCCATCTGTTTATATTAAGGTACTTACACCCTACCCTCCAAGCAACCTGAAACTCCAGCCTTTTGCGCTCCTTTATTTCCACGTTCATTTTTTTCATTCCCCTGACTTCTGATATCTCCGTAAATTGAGACCAAAGGGGCATTTCGGTTCGAGTCTTCTGCTTCTCCCGGTTTGTAATTCCTCTGCTCCCTTTTGGCCGAGAGCTGGCAGGAGAGAGGCTCAAAACATGATGGATTTTTTCCTTTAAGGAAGGGAAGTGCTGGAGTCCTGCGTTTTTCCCGTAACACCCAGCCAGCGCTTTTGTTTTATTTAACCGCCCGCAGTCACCTCGCCCCCCCTTTCCTCGGGCTTTAAGGGCCGCATCTG